CTTCAACATTGCGCCCCTGCAGACGATGGTCAGCCCAGCCACCATTTATGCGGCATTTCGTCGACAGATGACCACGTACCTCGGCCAAAGCTGGGGGTGGCCACATGGCGACACGCCGCAACCTTCTGGATGACGACGTTTGTGATTAACCGACTGTCGGCCGAGACGACCGGCGCCCTGGGTAGCCTGATTCACACTCAAGCTCAAAACTCTGGGGACACGGCCCAGCGGGCCTATGCACGCACAGCCAGTGACCATGTGCAAACCAAAATGTCGTCGCGACTGATGCATCAAGTGGCCTCGCAAAAATGGCATGCTTTGTTTGGACTAGATCGCAAGCGCAGCATAGCCGAGTTGACCGCGAACCAAGAAGCATTGGAAGCTCGCTATCCCATCAGCTGGAACCCGGTGACTGACCTCTCGCCCGAGGCAAACGGGCGTATCATCATGAACACGAGGGCCGAGCATGACGTACCCTACATGACCCAGCTGGCCAAGCAGGCGAGCATCTCCTGGGGCCACAGTTTCAACAGCCAAGAACAGTTGGACCTGGCCGCGGCCATTGACCAGCACCGGCCGGAAGATGGATGGCTGATTGTTGTTGCACCGACAGGCATGGGTAAAACATTTTGTACCCTGCCCAAGCTGGGCTGTCGCCCGCATGCCGGTACGGTGCTGTGGATTGTGCCGTTTGTGGCCGTGGCCAACGATTTATTGCGGCGATTTCAAGGCGCAGGTCACAGTGCCCAGCGATGGCTTGGTCCCTCTACACAGATGGCCTGGACGTGCTCATCGTTACGACCGACATGTTTGTCCGCGTGGGATCTGAGTCCCTACACGGAAAGGTCTGCTTTCAGCACATCCGCACCGTGGTGATGGACGAGGCGCACACACTCATCTCGGATGCCAGCTACCGAGATGTGATGGACGAAGTCGCAGCCAGTGTGGGTTCTGGCGGATGGACCAACATCAAACGCGTGGCGTTGACGGGCACACTTTGCATCGGGGACCAGGAGCATCTGTTTCGAAAGCTGGGGCAGCAAGTGGGGGGCAAGGTGTACCGTCTGGAGACGATGCGTCGCGATCTGCAGCTGCGTGTGCTTCACGGAAACCAGCCAAACTTTTTATCGCATGTGCAAGCCATTGTGGACACGCAGCGTAACATGTGTCAGGCGAATGGGAAGGCGTGTGCACATGA